GAGAGTCGCTACATGCTACCTGCCGTACGCGGGGGAAGTCGTCCCTCGTCTCTGCAACCGTCGATCTCCGAGAAGGTGCGGGGTATCTAAGCGTTTCCGAGTAGTCCCCTCCGCTGACGATAACTTTATCAGTTCCATCTCGCGCCAGACCCTGCGGCATGGGGCTCGGACATCTCACATGCGGAAGCGGATGATGCACTGCATGACCCCCGCCACGACCACAATACGCACAACGTCTTTACGGGACGCGGTATTCAGAACGTGGGGTGCATCGTCCTGATGTGTCTCTGCATTGTCGGGCTTTTGTACGTTCTTATTTTCGTCTTCCCAATGGACTGCCCGGCCGCCTCCCGTTCCCTGATCGACGAGTCGCTAACGTCCCCACAGCCTCGGCTACCCCGTGACCTCCCACTTCACGAGCCCGTCCCACGTAGATAACTTTCACGTCAACGCGACGGGGCAGGTCCCCAATATCGGAAACTGGGGCTTGATTGACATGGATACGCCGAAGGTATATTTCTCTTGTCCTCGCAATGGCCTCTTCCTCACGCCACGTAGGATGTGTACAACATCCACGCGTACCACGACCCGTCGCAGACGCTGCAGCTCGTCTTCAGCGACGAGTTTGAGACAGAAGGACGGAGTTTCTACCCCGGCGACGATCCATATTGGTATTTCTTTTTCTCTCGGTCTGAGGATTCGCCTGACCTCTGTCTGCAGGGAGGCGGTCGACCTGCACTACTGGCAGACCGGCAATCTCGAGTGGTGCGTCCCATGTACTCCGTCTTGTTGCTGAAACTGAGCTGTCCCCAGGTACGACCCTTCGGCGATCACCACACGCAATGGCGCACTGGAGATCAACCTGACGAAGGTCGACGACCCGTCGACAAACCACAACCTCAACTACACGGGCGGAATGATGTCGACCTGGAACAAGGTGAGGGTATCCTTGCTCGTAATCGGCCTTGTTTTCATCGCTTTCCAATAGTTCTGCTTTACTGGTGGACTAATCGTCACGAATGTGATGCTGCCTGGTGCGACCAACGTCTTTGGGCTCTGGCCTGCGGTGTGGACAATGTCCGTAGCGCCTTTGAGTGATCGGACAGACACTGATCTTTCGCAGGGGCAACCTTGGTCGTGCAGGCTATGGTGCGACACTTGACGGCATGGTGTGTCCCTGATCGTGCCGTATCCTCTACAACGCTTAACGAACAGCGCAGTGGCCGTACGTGTACGACGCGTGTGACGTCGGTACGACCCCAAATCAAACGCTCAACGGTGGCCCCCCGGCAGCCCTGACCAGCGGTGACAAAGACGGTGAGCTGTCATTCCTCCCCGGGCAGCGGCTCTCGCGCTGCACCTGCCCGGGCGAGTCGCACCCTGGCCCAATCCACTCCTCGGATGGGTCATACGTGGGGCGCTCCGCCCCCGAGATTGATATCTTCGGTGTGTTTGCTCCTCGTTCGCGCTATTCGCGGGACTTATGTTTTTCGCTCGTGATTAGAGGCGCAGGTGCTTTTCTTCTCCTTTTGCCTCTAACCCGCGTCTCACTCATATCTGCCGCTTAGATCGGTGGCCCCGACGGCGCGCACGTTGGACAGGTCTCGCAATCGGCACAGTGGGGGCCCTTCAACACTGGGTACATCTGGGATAACTCGTCGGACAACCTGTTCATCGCGGACCCCACGTTGTCGCACCAGAACTCGTACTCCGGTGGTGTATTCCAGCAGGCAACATCCGTCGTCTCGACAACGAGTGCGTTCTTCCTGTCGCGCTTCGCTTGCGTCTCGTAATCATAATTTGTTTCCAGACCAGTCGTGCTATCAGCTCGTCGACCAGTGCTACGCGGTGCAGGGTTTCGAGTACGTGCCTGGGTACGACAACGCGGTGCGTCTTCCCCATCTATACGTACCTCCGATGCTGACGAGTGTGTCCGTAGTACATCACCTGGATCACGAACAACCAGGTGACCTGGACGCTAAATGCCGCTGGCCTCGGTGCGGACGCCGGTACGGGCATCGCCGCGCGCCCTATAACTGACGAGCCGCTGGTGCGCATCGCTGCATCCCCGCTCTCGTTGCGCTGCTGACAACAAATACCCGCACAGTACATCCTCGCGAATCTGGGCATCTCGCATGCATTCGGGTTCGTCGACTTTGACCACCTGGTGTTCCCCGCGACAATGCGCCTCGACTGGGTGCGCGTATACCAACATCCGGACAAGATTAACATCGGGTGCGACCCGCCGGAAAAACCGACGTCTCAGTATATCAATACGTGCGTCGTCTTCATCTTCTTTCCCTTTTTTTGTGGGGTCCCTCACGCTCCATTAGGTATACCGAGGCGTACACGAACCCGTTGCTCACGACGTGGGTGGACGACTACCACCAGACCATACCCAAAAACAAGCTCATCGACGAGTGCTAATCGTGTATTGTGTTGTGCTATCTGTCAGCTCCCTTGTTGTTGTCTGTCATTACCACTGTCGCCCCCGCTGTCCGTTCTTTGCGTCTGTTATATTGCGGGGTTTCGTGTCGTCGTGTATTTTCGCGCACTCGAAGATTTTCGAGCATGGCCGGACTTATTATATTCAGCTATTTATTGCGCTACTTATTAGGTCTCTTTGTTGTAGGCAAAGTGTGTAAATAAATACCAGGTTACTTGCAGGCTATTTTCGCGTAGAAGTGACTAATAAGCATAGCATGATATTTTTAGGCGTGCTATACATATACCTATTGATCCATGTCTCTTGCAACTATGACAGACCTTCTTCTCTTCTCCCACCATGGCCAGCTCTCGTTTTTCTCGCGTTGTCCCCACCGCCACGAACAGCACAAGCAGATTTCTTGTGTCTTATGCCTCTGACTGGTGAGCATTCTCAGCGGCGTTTCGTTCGGTGCTCATAACCTTCCTCGACCTCCAGGATCATCACCATTGCCCTTGCGTGTGTATTCTATCATACCCTGCTTTCCACCGTCCATTCAAGCATTCCCCAGCGCCATCTTCTTTTCCCTCGACAAAGTCCATGGCTTCCAGAGAGAGTTTCCCTCGAAGACACTTCGTATGTTCCTCACAACTACCGGCTATGTCCGTTTCTGACCCTTCTATCCATCTCCCAGTCTCCGTCATCCGTATGTCACTTGTCCTTGTCCTGCTTTGACTTTAATAACCGGTCCTAGGTTTGCCGTACATGAGCGCATCCCAGTAAGCATTGCCATCTGTCCCTCGTTCTGGCTTTCGAAAATTCAAAACAGGATTCCGGTTTGTTCACAATTCTGTTCCGTTATTCTTCCTCGACCCTATTTTATAGCCCTCTACCTAATTGCCGTGGTGGCACCCATTGTCCTTCAGGCCGCGATAAATCTCCTTACAATCCGCAGCTGGTGGGATCTACATAATGGTGCGAAATATTCGGTTTCTTTGCTGGTCGCCATTTGACGACCATTCCCTATTTTATCTAGGCTTACTCGGATGTCCGTCGTTCCGTTGCAATGGAATGCTCCATATTGAATTCTAGTCTAGTGATTCTTGGCCTCGCAATCACTGGCTCCATTACTCAGTTCACCAAGCTTACTGTTGGACGTCCTCGGCCTGGTGCGTGTTTGTCGGGTCCTTTTTTCTTTTTTTTCGAGTCGAACAGATGTTATTGACCGATGCCAACCTATTCCTGGTTCCGTCGATCCAATCTATGGTTTGTCGAACGCCTCCATATGCACCAGTGCAAGTGGTTCCGCGATAATGCTCGACGGATGGCGGTCTTTCCCGTCGGGCCATTCGGTGCGACCGTTTTACCGTCTATTTCCATTCGCACTAGCTCACGTCTTTTGCGTAGTCGCTCTCCTTTGCTGGTCTGGGTTTTCTGGCGTTCTACTTGGCAGGCAAGCTGCATCTGTTCGACCACAGGGGTTACGCGGTATGTCGTTGCCTGACAAACCGGTTTTATCGGCCGACTGAAAAAATCCACCAGGCAAAGGCGTGGATTTCTCTTACGCCCTTCGCAGGCGCTGCTCTCGTCGCAATCTCGCGCACCATGGACTACCGCCGTGAGACCCTCGCTTAACGCTGCTGTCTACAAGGTTTTAATTTGATCAATTTTTTTAAAGACCACTGGCAGGACGTGCTCGCCGGCTCCATCCTGGGCACCGTAGTCTCGTATTTCGCCTACAGGCAATATTATCCCAGCCTCGCATCGGAGGTCTCGCACCGACCGTACGCGCCACGACTCGCGCGAGACGAGCTTCCGACCCACGGTAATGGCCACCACAGAGAGTCAAGCGCGCAGCAGGCGTACAGAGACGACCGCCCGACGGCGGAAGATATTATCGACAGTGGGCCGTTGCAAGGTACGGTGGTGCGGGGCGGACCCGGGACGCTGCGGGAGGCGTGGAAGGATGGCGCGGACGAGGAGGAAACTACTGCGTTGCAGCCGCACGGACAGGCACGCGACGGTATTCAGTTGGAATCGGTGTAGCATTGTGATGAGTGGATGGGCATACGAGGATCCGGTTGGTACGACTACTGTGCAAGCTAATAAGTTGAACTCGCTGTGCGTATAGCATTTGGTTCAGGATTTGGTTGTCCTCCGCTGCCCGGCGTAATACAGAAACCAAGGGTCAAACTTCCAGCATTTCGAGGTCTCCAGAGCGGAAACAAAAGTAGCCGTCCAGAAAGATGGATGTTTTATATTAAAAACGTCAAGTGAGCTCAGTTCAACTGAATCTGCGATTTCCCAGGGTTGGAAAATAATCACTTGGCAGTCCAGAGACAGACTTGGTTTATCTCCAAGATGTACTGTAACCCAAGATTAAGAGACCGAATGCCAACGCTCTTGTGAGCTTGTGATTTTGGAAATAATTAGTTTACGCTGAGGGTGCCTTCGGAAGATATCAGAACTGGACCACAGAGAAAAAAAAAGTAAAGCACAGTATAGCATGAGGGGTTGAATGCACTGTTCTTTGTCGCGGGCGCATCGCAGAGCGAGGGACCCGGCACCTCGTGTGTGCCACCTGGGGGAATCGAACCACCGACCTCCCGTTTCCGAAGTTACGGTCAGTCTTACCACTGTGCTATAGTGGACACATTATCATTATCATTATATGGCTTCAAGTTCTGCTCAATATTGGTCCCAACATCCTGGAGAAATATTACAAAAAAGAAACTGACCCTTTTTAATCAGTACCGCACTAAGCACTTATTAGGCTCTGGTTCCCTGTTGCGAAAAGTTGCAAAAGATGTTGCGATGTTGCCGAATCAAACTCCGCATCAGATGGCGCCCTTGCGGGGAAAGAAGACATGTCAAGAGGCGTCGGTGCATCACGTTAACGTAGGTTAACGTCTACTACGAGTCGGCGCCTGCGCATTCGGTGCCACTTTGTTTCCTTCCACCACATTCCACCACATTATGTCCCTTCATAGGTATAACGTTTCTCCTCAACGCTCCAGCGTTGATTCTCGCCTTTCCGATCCAGCAATGAGAAATTAAAAGTTCAATTCCTACCCAGCGCCCCTGGCGAAATCGACATTTACTCCAAACTTTGTTGGTCAAAAGATGAGGCCCTTGCCACAGAATACGTCCATCCCCGTTCCTCGAGTCTTGAAAGTTGTACCCTCCGAAGATCCCAGCCTACCATGGCGATTAAATGTACTGCACAGCTCTCCCAGGGTCGCCGCTCTTGCGTACTGGCACAAGACACAGACTCGGTGGAGCCAATTACAGCACGTCGTAGAGGACATAAAGGACTGGACAACCCAGTTGAGCACTCTTCTGAGCCCTCACGGTCAGCGGATCTGTGGCTTCTCGGGTGGCCCTCTTTTCAGCTTCAGAGTTAACGGGGAAGTGGTTGGCCCATTCGACACAGTGGCTGACTTCCATACCCAGCTGTTCTGCGCGGTTGGACCCACAGAATACGCCTCTGCGACAGCTCACATTCAGCGACTGATTTCTGACCGTCCCAACAAGCTTTATGGAATTCATCTCGTCCACGGCGATCTTTTACTTCACAATATCATGGCCGACGAGGATTTGTGTCCCACCGGCCTCATTGATTGGGAATGCGCGGCATGGGCGCCCGAGTATTGGGAGAGAGCATCATCGTCTCGGGTTCATTACAACTTTATGTGGTGCTGGAAGGATATTCTCGACAAGGCGTTCCTGAAGCACGAAGACGACATGGCTCTTGCAAAGTTGATACAAAGGAGTTGCTGTACACATTACTTGATCTCGATGTATATCCCGAAGTACATTTTGTCGATTGGTGTGATCTCGAACATTACGACAACATTTGTCGAGTCCGACTCAGCTCTCTCGACCATGAGGTACAAAAATTCTACAAAAATACCGGTCGGAAATTCTGCCAGTTCCTTAAGGAGCAGAGTGAAAAACAAGCAAACCAAAAGGACGTTCGGATGAGTGTGGGCAGAGCTTTCAAAGATTACTCGTGACGAAGGGTCGATTAGTTGACGAATGGGTGCTGCTGAAGAATATATAGTAAGATACCAAGTGAATCGCGAAAGGATGTTCAGCGTGAGGAGGCCCTGGTGGACGAGCTGGGAAAATGATCATGGGAATCGAACCAGAGCTAATTATACAAGTAAAGCATTCCCACCCGCAGCTTACGCTCTCCTCCAGTTACTTCCTCAGCTGTTCGAATGTTGCCCGTTCAAGCTGAACAGATTAATGACTCACCGAAGACAAACGAGATCTCTATAAAACACACTCCTCGCAACTACCAGGCATTTCCCGGATCCCAATATGCGCTTCCAACCGACAATCTTGAGCGGCAGAGGCAAGTCTTCGATTCTCTTCAAGATACATATCTGAAAGGACTAGGCTGTTACTCCAGCATCAGAACTTGAAAAAGCTCTTCGAAAACAAGACACTGCTCGCGCCTGTCAGCCTGGACGGGAGCGATAAGGTCTTAGATATCGGTACTGGGTCTGGTGGGTTAAATGAATCGACTCTTGACATGCCGGGACGCGATTTTAATTCATACCCCGCATGGTAGGACTCTGGATCTTGGATCTTGCAGAGACCATAGCTCCCTCGGTTTCTATAGTTGCAGTCGACATTGAACCAGGACTGTTCCCAGCCTCTCCGCCAAAGAACATTGAATTTCGGGTCGAGTCAGTAATGAACTTGCCTTCGGACTGGAGCGATACGTTTTCGCTCGTTCACCAGCGGCTCCTCATGCTGGCACTTCAAGTGCCCCAATGGCCAAAGGCCGTGCAGGAGATCTACCGTGTGCTCCGTCCTGAAAGATGGGTCCAGATCGCTGAAGCAGCTGCTTTCTATGAAGGTCAAAATCCCGACAAGCCATGCATGGAGAAACTCACGGCTATGTACCGACGCATCACAGAGGCCCGTAACTTGTACGTCGACTGCACCCACGGTATTCCAAAGATGCTCGAAGAAGCGGGATTTGTTGATATTCGGAGCGAATCACGGGCCCAATCTATGGGGAAATGGGCCGGAGAGATTGGGGTTGCCAATGGGGCGAACTATATTGGCGTACTCAGAGGCATTAAGGCACCAGTTCTCGAGGCAGGCGGATTTGGCCATGTTACCTCCGAAGCCGAGTATGACGAGCTTCTGGATGGGCTTGAGAGGGAGTGGGACGAGATTCCAGGTACAGAGAAGCAGTTCATTATTTTCTGGGCTAGAAAGCCGTCGCCGTAGTTCCCAAAGACTCGTTAGTAACGTTACTAGTAGAGTACTACTACTTAGTACTGTCGCAGTGTCGCTTGCGGTTCTGTCTTGCGATGACCGTATATATGGAAGCCTGTGTATGAGCAGAGGAGAAATTCTCACCCACCGATAGAACGTATTTCAGTGGCGAATTGTAGCGAATTGTTGGCAAATTGTCCAAGGAATACGTAGTTATGGTTGGGCCTGTCACAGTCACACGGTCACGGTCCTTCCAGTGTCTTTCATGTCCGCCCATGGATTCGACTCAATTCCCACAGAAATTGTCGCCGCAATATTTGAACATTGTCTTCCAGTTCCAGATAACTACCCCTGTCCTTCATGGCTCGAAGCTCCTCTCCTTCTAGCTCAAATTTGTCGCCGATGGCGGGAGATCTGTCTGGATACACCGCATTTATGGACATACATTGCTTTCGACCACGGATCTATAGAATTACTGAAAGCGTGGCTGTCGCGCGCACGGTACCACCCGCTCACCATTTACCTCGAATGTCGGGACGAAACGAAAGCGCGGATGCTCGTTGACGTTATAACACCCTACTGTCAACAGTGGTGGGACATCCACTTTGTTCTCCCACTGTCTGCGCACCGCCAGCTCAACACGTCTACCTTTCCGTGCCTTAACCGGCTCACGCTTGATGCCCCCTACCCCGGCCCATCGGACGCAACGACTGAGGGGGAACCGGTTATCATCCGCGACGCACCGCTGCTTCGTGAAGTCTCAATATTCTACATACCGTCTATCCAAGCCAACCTTCCGATGGAAAATCTGTCCGTCCTTAAAATCACATTTTTGAATATACCCCAGACCCTCGCTGTTTTGCGGTGGTGCCCAAACCTCTTGGATCTCACCTGTCGCTTGACCAGGAGAGGTAATGGCGATATTGCGCTTCCGCCTGTCGAGCTGCACGCTTTACGCTCATTAACGGACTTGAACTACGGGGGAATTCTGCATTGGCTAACACTCCCACGTCTGGAGCGGCTCCAAATAGGGCACATGTCCGAGTCCATCCCGGTTACGACCAGCGCCCTGCACGCACTTTTCTCGCGCTCGCCCTGCGCCCTCAAGTTTCTGGCCATCCGCATCCCCGGTCTCTCCTGCCCCGCAGCTCAAATACAACACCTCTTCCGCCCCGCCAGCACTATCGAGCATCTCCAGCTCCACATTGACCACTTTCTCGAGGCGCCCCAGATGTTGCTGCAGGCCCTCCGCAGCTTCGAAATCCTCCCGCGGCTCAGGCACCTCAAGCTCCTCTACGCGTTCGCTGTGAAGGGGGAGCGTGCACGTTCCCTCCTGAATCTGCTGGTGTGGAGGCGGACGCATGCCGCGCTCGAATCGTTCGAGCTGGTTGTGAGCGTGGACAACGTCCCACCCCCCACCGACATGGCTGAGTTTCGCGCACTCGGCGAGGCGGGGTTACATGTGCGAGTCACGATTCCGAAGGGTTACTTGCCAGTGACACCCTCCGTTGTCGTTCTGGATATCCTGCAACCAGTTAATTAGCTATAATACTAAAGATCCAAGCTGTTATTGCGCCTGAACAGTGAGCTCGGCCTCGGTTTTGCCTCAAAATATTTTTGCTGCTGGATATGGATATATTTTCTATACGATAACCTGAAAGCTGAAGGCGACTCGGAAAGAACTGGGCGTTTACCAAGAACGGAATCTGGCGCTCTAATGTCGTTAACGCCCAGAGAGGTTGTCGGTCACTCTTATAAAGTTTTATCGACTATCATAAAATTTGTAGAGTCTGACTGCGGGAGACTAGGTCACTCTCATGTCGGCTGACCTCGCTACAGCTCCAGCTTGCCCTCAAATATTCCACCACTTCATACATATCATAAAACCATGTTGGCATTTCATTAACCGAAAGCCGAGCGCGAAAGGGAACGAAATGCATGATTAGATAGTCCGCCACAAAATGGGCACGTATATAAAAGATTTGCTCAACTCCAGTCGAATCGCTGCAGAAAAACACAAAGCTGGTCACCACATGGACTAGACAAGCCGTATCCGGTTTTTCGAATATTTTGGAAGGATTTAGGTGGAAAAGTCTGACGCTCTACTGCCCAGAAAAAAATGTGGCAGTGCCATACTCAGGCTGGGCTCGGCTACTTCGCTGCGGCCTCAATATTGCCTCAAATACTAAGCCATGATGTGAGACCCTTAACTGTATCCTGTGCATACGATAAATTTGGAGCCGAAGGCTAACGCGGCGGAAATGCGTGGATCCGGATCCCAACAAATTTGCATCGACTCTCGAGAAGCATTTCTTGCGTGCACACCGTGACGTCTCTGCAGAAATGCAAAGAGAGGAAAGAAAGGAGCACGCCATACACTGAAACAATGCAGACCAACTCCTCAAAGGCCTAA